AATTGTTTTATCTGTGTATCAATCAAAATGGTTTTCAGACATAGGCAATAATTGTTTGCCTTCTTCAGCAAGAGAAGCACAGGCAAACAGCTGAAAACACAGTGTTAGCCAAAATGACCCAGCAAGAGACAAAATGTAACACAGAACATAGCTGGCTCATTCTTCAGATAAGAACATTTTAAGAACTGTGAAATACTGAGAGGCGAAAGAGCAAATGACATTTAAATAGCATGTTCAACAGCATTCAGCTTAAATTTCACCTTCTAAAAGGTATACTGAAATCACCAGCTTGGAATTTGATTCACCTAATTTTACATTCTGAAACGCTTGTCCTGCACCCAGTGCTGGGGATAGCTATGCTGCTGAGACCATCACTGCCACTTCTCCATCCGCTTTTATTAGCTGATGTTCAAATTTTATTTCTTTAGTTAAATTTTCTGGTTAAACATTATGTATGGGCACACCTCATTTGATCAGTTATAGCCATAGAGTTTAGCCAATTTATGGTTAAATAGCCCACTCCTGTCAAGGATGGGATGGAATTTGCTGAATTAATATAAATTCCTTGAGGCAGTAGCTGCATCTGAGCAGCACTGAGGGGAACCAATCCTGTTATATAATGATAGTTCAGAGACCTACAAGTGTTGCCCTTTTCAGCATGGTAAAATCCACATATGATGCATTTTAAGGTAAATGGAATCTCCTTTTTTTGATGGATAGATGATGGGAGTTATTGATGTGTCTGTCTAATGTGCTGTTCTCTTGGCAGACAGCCTAGTCTTCAGAGGGTAGCTGGGAGCTCTCATCTGCTGTTAGTGTTTTTTTTGCAAGTGTTCTCAAATCACATACAAACAGACAAACTCTCGCTCTGCAAGATGCATGTAATGACATTGATCTCAGTGGATGATGCTCACATCCAGCCAGGGAAGAACTGGGCCCTCCTTTAAATCCAGTGCATGGTGAAGTAGGATTCAGTCCCAACAGACATGTTTCCCCAGTACAAGCTGCCTGGGGTTTTCCCGAATTATCTGCTCCAGAAGATGCATTTCACTGTATCTTATGTTATATATATCAGTATAGATAACTGTATGTGTGTGTGTGTGTAAATATATATACACATATATATAGTATTCTGTTCTTATTCCTTAAATACAAAATAAGCATTCTTGTATCCATGTCAGGTGGTGAATTTCTGCTACTAAAACTGCACCCATGTAAGGCAGCAAAGACTGCACAACCACTGTACTTTCAAAGCATGTAGTACTCTTTCTTCTGTCTAGCCAAGCAAATGCTTTGGACTCCTCTCCTTGCATCTTTTTGACAGGTTTTATGAGGATACATAATGTATCAGTGGCATGCCAAGAGCTACAAAGTGTTTCACATGATGTGGCCATTGAATACATTCTAGATGAGGAAGAATAATTCAGAATAAACCTCTAAAGAACAAAAGCTACATGTAGAAATAAGAAACAAACTTACAGACATCCTTACCAGCATTGAGGGCATCAAAGAATATTCTCGCTGCCCATGTGCCGAGTGTACAGGCAGCATGGACTGCCAGCACCTCCCCTGTATCATTTCCCTTCTTTTGGATCTGAATCTAACTAGGCCTAAAATTAAACACTACTAAATTTAGCTGAAAACTTGAACAAGCATAGTAACTGTCTGAACCACCCATGTTGCTTCAAACACAAGCTTACCACAGCCCAACAAGAACTGGGGGGAGGGATCTGCAACTTTTCCTGATGTGCTTTTTTGCAGGCAAGTGTGCAAGGTATTTAGAGTGAGGTTGCTCAATCTCAGTCAATAACATGATGAGTTTGCAAATTATCTTCTCTGTGTGTGCAGTTCTAGGATATTCTGGGAGGATGCCTGTGTTTTTCATGATACTTTTGCCTTCTTATGTGACCAGAGTATGTAGAAGATGAATCTTGACTGCTTCAGGTCCTGTAGCTACATTTTTGCTATATCAAAGGATTGTTTTCATTTAGGATTATTTAGGATTGTTTTCATTTGCAATGTTATGGCTGTTTCTGCTTTCGTAATCTCTTGCTCCCTATTTATCTCCCTAAGCATTCTCTCTCCCACTGTAGCTGTTAGGTGAGTAGGGGCTTATTGTGTCCATCACAGTTGCTGCATAGTGCAAAGTATGGCTCTTCTGTGGAAACTTGGTTTATGTCCTTCCAATTTTAACAGAAAATCTTTCCTATATACTGTCTGTTTAATCATTTAACTCACAAACAAGAAGAAAGATGGCTAGAGATCTCAGGATGAAAGTCAGTAATGCAAGTACATGGCAGGAATTTGCTTTTCCTGAGCTGGTGCTCATCATGCATTGCCATGGTACAGCAATGGGCACAGTGCCTACTGGAAGAACAGTAACACAGTCCACTGTAAATCATATGCTCACAATTTCCTCAACCAAAAGCTTTCCATTTTCACTCTGGACAATGTCACTTGTGAGTAGCTGAGATGATAAGATTGGCACTTTTTCTCTGGGAATCCTTATACTTCTGACAAATTCCTTACTTTAGTACCCATTTCTGCTGTATCATTAATCATACCACTCTTCTACAATGCATTTGAGAATCCCTGTCAATACTTTCTTTCTCCTCATTTTGAAGAAGCATGATTTGTGTAACCTTTCAGAGTATTCCTGACATTACTGAAAGGTCCTTTTATAGTTCGAATTTATGGATGAGGATATGTTGACGCTTTCTTTTTCCTCTGTTACTAATGGTTGCTGTTGCTGTGTGTGCCAATACCCCTCTTGCACTATCCATCTTCAGATTTTTCCCATGGGTGTAGATAATGACATGAAGCTCTCTTTATGACATATACAGGTTTACTGCTTGTTCGCATCAGACTGACTGTGTGACAGCAGTGGGGAATGTGCCCTAGAAATGAGCACTTACCAGTACTGAGTAGGGCCAGGTCTGCTACACAAGAATCACTTAATGTTTCTGCATTGTTTCCCTGATGCTTCCTTTCCCAAGTCCTTTTCCAAGTATTTTCTGTGGGATTTTATGCTTTTAAGTTACACCTATGATCATGAAATAATGACTGTTTATATACCAAGACTGTTCATACACCAAGCATCTCTTTCATCTTTAGCAGACACCCTTCTTTCTTTTTTCTAGCTGCAATAGTCCTTGACTGAGTCACTGCTTGCTGATGTTGAATCTAATAAAACTGAAGTGGCCAGCAAGTTCTTCCTACAAGGACTAGATTTCACTAAACACTTCAGTCTGCTCACTGAAAAGCTGATGCTTCTAAAAGCAACACAAGTAAGGTTTGTTACATTTTTTAAGCACTCAGTGTTTCTAGAAACTGGTACAGTCCTCTCCAAACTGTACTTTCTCCATACTTTTGCAGCCTACATAGGTTACTGCTTATGCTTTTACAGCATTTTAACTTGGAAACCACATACAAAAAAATGAAACGCTCAAGCAGCGTGTACTAGATTTAGAAGAGTTCAAGTAAGCACTTAAAAATAACTCTTGGATGCTGTACTTCATCCCACTATCACAGTTTCTGTACTAGAAGTACTCTTGAGGAGTGAATGAATTTTGTTTGAAGGCCAAATGCAGATAAGAGAACAAGACAGGCAATGGCTGTGGCAGGTTTTCTGTTTTGCTTTAGTTTCTCCCTGGTATAAATCAATGACCCTTGACAACATTCTTCAGTGCTGAGATTTTTGCATGTAGTCCTTCAATATGTCTGTAAGAAAACTGCCAAAACTCTCAACAGAGGCAAGACCGTTAAGTTGGTGCAATACGCAGTTATATGAAGGTGAAACTTTGGAGGGCTTTGATCTTAAACTTAGACATATCTCAGCAATGCTCCAGGGAAGTAGTGCGTTTTTGGATGCAGTGGGTTGTTTTGGGGTTTTTTTGCCATCAACTGAAAAGATGTAATGTAAACTGTCTGAGTCAAATTACACCACGTTTTACTGCTTGGAAGCTGTATTGCCATCATGCTTTCATATATCACTTATGCTATTGTCTCTTTTTTCCTACTCATCCCAGTACAGTAAAAAAACCCAAAACCTTTTATGAAGCTTTTCTACTGGTTTATCAATAATCTTGCTTCTGTTCTGCTCAGTCCTTCTCTTTCTTCATGGACAGTGCCTCCTCCACCTCAATTTCTGATTACCTAGTTCATTACCTAGGTGCAGTATTTTGTTGGTTTAGATTATATCCTGTCAGTTTTCCTGGCAACTAATTCCACTTCAGAGGTTCAATATCATGTCAAGAGACACTTTGAGAGGGTGTTTTCAGTTGTTTGGGGAATCTGGGTCATGGGAGTTTGGGGCATCATTTTCTCTACAGCCCCATTTTCTCATAACCCCAGAAGGGTTATGCTAGCATGAACAGCAGTGCCGCATTTTCTTGGGGGGGGGATGGGTGTGGAAATCAGAAACTCCTTATCCAAATTATAGTTGATGTTATAGCATTAAAATTAAGTAAGACCATAGTTAATAAGAATATCTCATGTACGCATTAAATTTTAAGGGGTATATTCTCCATCCATTTAATGTGTGATTATTCCTCTTTGACATTAATTGGAATTCTGTGTAAAGGCTGAAGAGAGACCATCAGTGGTAATGTAAATTGAAAGAAATCTTTGCTATAATGCAGCTTTTAAAGAAAGAGTCATTCAAGCAACACTGCTGCAGTACCCAAATATTCTGTGTCATTAACAACTGAAGAATCCTCAGGGCTTTAGAAATTATGTAGTAGGATGGTATAACCTACTGTTGCTACATGAAGACATCAAATAAATACTATCAGCTAATACTTTTACATAGCAAATATTTGAAACTGCTACATGAGATGGAACGACCTCTGTTGCAGTCTCACAGCTCACCACAGTGAACTGAGAATGGATAACTTCGATATGGTTTACATCACCTATGAAAAATGACTGGAAAATTGACAAAAAAAAAGATGTTAGCTCCTGACTTGTACATCTTAGTCAGTGGAGCTAGAGACAAATTATGAGAACAGCAAGGTCTGACTGCTTCCTTATGCAACCAGGAAAAAAAATCTCTCCTTCTGTTGACAGACAGCTCTGTGCTCTGTCACTGCAGTTCAGCTGGAAAAGGCAGAAACAGGGGATGCTGAAGTGCAGCTCGCTTCTCCTTGCTGCTCCTAGATGGCTCTGACTGCTACTGCTGCACTTTGTACAGCTGCGTACCAGCGTCCTCTCGCTGGCTCCCTGATGTGGGTCCTGCCTGTGGGTCTGCATAGCCATGGCACAGACTGAAGCCTCCCTCATGGTAAGGCTTTCTAAGATCTTTCTTTAGGGAGAAAAGATAATTTATAATGTATTCTATTCTCTCAAAGGTTCTTCCTTTGCTAGGATACCTATAGGCGTTATTATTCTTTTTAAGCAGTTTTCCTAAATGGGGATCACTGCTCTGATTTCATTTACCACACAGCCACACCAGCCGTGGTGTAGCACCAGAGAGAAGAGCATGGGGTAGATGCTTAAACTGGCTTTACTGTTGAGAGAAATACTAATTTATCTCAACTTTGCTGACACTTTCCTCCTTGAAAGGCAGTGCTTCAGCACTCACTTCTGTAGGGCCCAAAAGTGACAGCCCTCCTTCATTATAAAGGGTGTTAAAACAGTGGAAAAAACAGCCATGTACACCCTCAGAAGAAAAACTGGTGCTTCTGATATGCCTTTTTTTCTGTCCTAGTTTAGTTCTTTAAGTGATGCTTTATTCTCCTTCTACTTGATGAAATGCATTCACAGAAGTTAACTCTATTTTCTTAAGCACACACATACCCAAACCAGAATTTGCTTAGAGTAAACATTTGTTTCCTTTTTAAATGGAGCTAATTGGCAATTAGCATGATTTAATTAATGGCAGTGATTGCAAATTTACACCTTCCCTAAAAATTTATTCCAGGAAACAAATAGTTGTTTCTAGTCTTTCTTGATGTAAGAAAGCCAGGATGAGGCACAGCCATTTGTGTCTTGAAAGAAATGATTGCAAAGGGGGTAGATTTGCATTTGTCATCATGTGTTAATTATTCCATGTTAAATGGCAACCAATTAAATAAATACAAAAGAGGACCAAAGCATGTGGACTAGGCAAGATTTTCACTGAAACAGGAAAATGTTCCCACATGTTGGAAAGCATCAGTCAAATGTAAGTGTGAGAAGGTGGTGGGACAGGAGGGAGGGACTGTGGTATGTTGTACTTTGAAATGTTTACAGCAACCAGATTGGGACTTATGTTGACTACTGCAAGGTTTGCATTATGGTAAAGAAGTGAGAAATTGAGCGTTATCAAAGTTCATTTAAAAAAAAAAAAAGGAAAAATAAAAAGCAAATCTCGTCCTAGGATTATAATATAGCATGGCTTGAGGTCTGAAGAATACAATTTAATGAGATTGCTGTCTCACTCAGTTTATAGTAAGGCAGGTAAAGAGACTCCCTGGTAAAACAAAACAGGCAGAGAAGAGAAGAGAATACAAGAGAATTCTCTTGGAAGAGAAGTATTCTGTATTGCTCTGTGGACTCTGAAGGTTAGCACAAAGTAAGAAGCAAACAAGGGGGAATATTTTCCTGGTTTTGCCTGGGTTGTGAGGAGAGCAGCTATGACTCTGTGCACTTTTTTTCCACTTGAAATTCTTGCATCACTTTCTAGCTCTCAAAATGGCATCTCATTTCCATTCCCAAGTTTCTGTATTAGCTGTTCTTCAAAAACGCTGTGGTAGAGTTGTGTCATAAATTATATCACTGAATTGATCCAGTTTATCCCACTAACTTCATGAGAATATTTAAGTTCTCGTCCAAGAAACGGCATGGAAACCTTCACGATGGGCAATGCGTGCACCATGTATGCTAAATTACAAACCCTCAGTGCATAAAGCTTAGAGTTCTGAGAAACAGTGTGTTTAAGCCCTGGAATGTCCCCTGAAGAATGAAGGAGAGCACCACTGCCTGGGCGGATAGTGAGAGTATGGTAGCGAAAGACAGATAAGATGTAAACAAACTTTTACCCCCAAAAGATATATTTTGGGGAGGTCTTCCACTGAAAACACCTGAGTCCACTGAAAACAATTCCTGGATTTTTTTTTTGTCACAAAAGCATCGAATTGTAAAAATGCATTGCCTGAAGTTTAATATGTTGACTTCTTTCAGGAAAGCAAATTTCTATCCTTTTACACCAATGTGGTAATTTATACAGTGCTTAAAAGACTATAGGCAGCGAATTGTACTTTAAATGAAGGATGAACTTTTACATCTGTTGTATCAGAACTAGATTCTCTCTAAGAATGTAAGTCTATCTTTATAAAGCTTACACTAAAAAAAAGAAAAAAAGGATAAATCCTTGACAACCCTATTTTTCAACATCCACTGAATAACTCCTAACGTGTCTCACTAAAGGTTCTTGTGCTTGTCTTGGAATATGTTGCTATTTTGTCAGTACCTTTAATATTCATGCAAAACCCTCAGTACGTGAAGCTGCAAGGAAGCAAACTCTGTATTTTTGAATACTTGCTGAAACTTGGTTTTTGCTTTGTGCTTCCAGTGGTATTATTCTCTTCTGATTACTGTTCCTGCTGCTTTTAGTTGCCACCTCTGCATTTTAAGCATAGTGGAAACTATGCAACATTGTGCATTGTTCTTTTTTTAGCCAGTATAAAGAATCAGGAAAGTACAAAAGTAGTTGCTATGATTTTTTATGAGTTTGTTACAGTTTTGGAGTGCAAAGCAGCTTAGGTTTGGCAGGCTTTTCAGGTGAAATGTAGCTGTATCTGAACTCAGAATTTCCTGAGCTTGGTAGATCATATCCTCATAATGTGATTCAGTAAGGGTACTCTGGGGTATGCATGCTCGGAGTGCACATATTTGTCTTCCTTCACTGCTATTTGTATAGCTTCTTTCAGATTTTTGCAGGATGACAGTGTTTGCATTTGGCCTACTTTAGTTATTATTAGATTCTTTCTGTGAACCGTAATTGACTCTTTTCTGAGATGCCATGTAGGATGCCCGAAGTCTTTTACATGTGTGATTTAAATATTTGATTTCTTCCATTAGTTTGTCTGTATGCCCTGTTTCACTCTTCAGCAACAACCTCAAATATTTTCAAGTCCCCTAATCTTCTGTAAAACTACCGAAAACGAGCAGTAGTACCTAGTGAGAAACTAACTGGGTACTGTCAATCAGGTACAGTGGTGCTAAAGTTCAATAATAGCATCTTGCCAAGACTTCCAGCAACATGGTAATGTAGCAAGAAGGGATTAGGCAGGATGGAAGCAGATCATGCTCCAGCTATTTCGCCAACTCAGTGAAATGGTGAGGCATCGATAGTTTGACCAATGTTGTCAGCTGAGTATTTTCTTCATATACCTGTTATGATTCTAATATCAGCCAAATTCTGCTATATCATTGCCTTGTTTTATGGTGTCTTTTGAACATTAATTTCTACTTAATAAATTCCTTCCACAACCACCATCCAGGCCTTGGGGCCAAAGTAGAAGGTATGAAATTATGTAAGTAGTAGAGAACTGCTTGTGTTGCAAAATCGGGATGGGAATCCAGCATCAGCATTAATTGAATGCAGGGATATTTTTGGAATTTGGGGGAAAGGCAGGTGGTGGCAAGAGAGGAAGAATTTCAGGTTATTGATTTCCTAATTACAAGCAGGTCATGTCAGACACTAGAATCAATAACTTGTTCACCCACATTTCTGCATGACTGGAAAATACTGTGAGTTATCACGGTGTGTATTTTTATTTAAACAGCAGGGTAGATGACCTTACATGAGGGTCAAAGCTGGTGAGCTGAAGTATGTTGCAAGTGAAATTTCAAAGGGATATCTGCTAGCTAGTGAAATTATACTTTCACGTGATTAAGCAATTTTAGACAAGTACTGTAGCCAAGAATCAAAATGCAATATTTTTCCCCAAGTGATTAAGCACAGATTCTTTACACTGTAAAAATATTTCTCCAAGTTCGTTCAAGCATCTAAACATCTGACTGGATGATAGCCAGAAGCTAACCGAAAAAACTTGTGCTTGTATAGGCTGGAAGCAATGAAAAAACTGTTGCTGGAATGTGTAGTTTTGAGAAAATATCTAAGTCAGTTACTCTTTAAATACAGTTTATTGGAGTCTCTCTCTTTATGCTTTTAACTAAAGTTGCAGGAAAGCATTCAACAACTGTGAGGAGAAAGCATAAATACTCAACATGTATTCTAGAAATCATCTTATGATGAAAAAACCCAGACCACTAAACCTGCTTTAGCAGGCTCATGTACATTCATGCGGTCACAAAAAGATTAAAATATGCCAGTGAATACTGTATTCTTTCTTCTGTTGGACATCAAATAGGCATTGTGTTCATGGGGAGACTGAAGCACTCCAAATTCCAGTGCATCAGTCAGGTGCCAGATGTTTCTCTGTATGAGAAGCCAAATTTTCATTTTGACATGGAGTTTTTCCTTTTTTTTTGTTGATTGCTAAAATTTTAGAGAACAGAACAAGTTGGATACTGACAGTTCTGCAAAACAGGGACTGTCTTGCTGATCTGAAAAACTGAACACAGCACTGCAAATACCTGAGTCACCTTTTTCAGGTTGCTAGAGGTATCTTGCTCAGGAATGGTGTAAGTGGAGATGGATTAATTTAATCTCAGCCACCAGAATTGAACCTGCTTCAGTTCAGATACTGTTTGCATTAAAATGTTGTTGTGCCTAGCCTAATAAATCCTGCTTCTTAGGGCTCTTTTGATAAGGGATAGAAGTTAAGCCTGTTCTTTTCACTAGGACCTCAATATATTGAAATCTTCAAACTGGAGAAGTGCTGAGCTCACTACTTACTCCAAAACTTTGCTCAACAAAAATAACCAGCTTTGCAACAATTCCTCAAGTTTTGGTTTATACAGTTTTTTACAGGATAATTTGGGTTGGATCCTTAGGAAAGTTGGACTAATGCAGGGATATGTATGTTGTCTCACAGACCAAGCCTACTCTTGCCAAGTCAATGAGCATGACAACTGTGATTGCAGTGAGAATTTGGCTGGCTCCAAAATAATTGAAGCTGACAGCCAATATGGAACTGAAGCACATCTGCCTCATTCAAGGAGGAGAGCTGTTCAGGAAATTAATATTGGTGTGTACTATATTTTAGGAATTAACTAGCTGTGATAAAGAAAACATGGATATAAGACAACAGTTGCAAAGCAGAGAGGTTGTATGCTGTGAAGAACAGGCTTGCTAGAACAAGTAGTCTGTATTGTTGCTGTTTGTACATTATG